ATTGGACAACAGTTTAGACAACAAAACAACAAATCAATGAACAGTTTGTTTGCATTTGTATTGCATTTAAATGTATGAAACGTTTCACACGTTATGTAATGTTAACCCAATTCCCATCCAAAACACCTATCGTTACGATATTTATGAATCGCTCGCTATTTATAAACACATTTAATTATTGGATTACTTTTAATTCATTTCATTTAATTATTATATAAGTTTATTTATAATTCACATCTAGATTTATTTATTTCAAAATAACACAATTTAGTAATTTATTATTAATAATTAGTAATTACTATACAATACAGTGTTTGTTATTTAGGAATTGTATGTACAGAATATTCTGTGTACAGTATGTATAGAATATTCTTAAGAAACATCAGTAGATTGTAATTTATAATTAAAGCTCTTCAAAATATTTAAATGTAGGGGTCAAATATTTTTTAAATACAGTATATAGAAAAATGGCGAATAAAGAAGTTTGTTCATTGGTAATGCCAACATGATCAATTCGGTTTTGGATGCATTTGCACAGAAAATAGTAATATTTTGTCCGAAATGAAAATAAAATTGAATTTATTAACTCTTATATACATAATTTGTGAGAATAACTAATATTCCCATTGAATATCATGGCCCAAAGTATTTGCCAAGGTTGCACTTCGGGACCATAATAGATATGGACAAAATAATTGTAGTGACTTGTAGTCTAATATTAATAAACATAGCTTTAATCCTTTATCAATTCCAATCTTTTACATAACTATTTTTAAGTTAATATTTTAGACTAGTTTACAAGTTGTAAATTACAACGGTTTGGCCGATTTATAAATCCACACTTTACTGTAATTGCGATTAAAATTCATAAAATACTTATCCTATACTTCGCGTAAATGTTTGAGATTTTGAGGAAATTATAATCAAATTATCACTTAATGGAAACACAATTGAAAGTAAAAACACATTTAATTTATTGTCATAAGTAATGATTAATTTAGTAAACAAATGTTAATTCAATTAAAAAACTAAAATAAAATATTACATAAAATAATTTTTATAAATTAGACAATTTGTAAACAATGTTTTGTGTCAGAAAAACTTCCATTCAATTTGATGCGAGAAATATAATCTTAATTATAATTAATGAATGCGTTTCTCATTAAAACCAATTCAATCGGAATCAGTTGAATGTCTTCTGTGAAGAATTGACGCATTTTTGTGCGAATCTATTCGTTCTCTCGAATCACTTCTCTTTCGTTTTAAATCACTTCTGGGCTCCGAGTCATGCATTCGTTCGTGTCTTTCATTATTCCTCTACAATAAACGTAATCATTATTTATACAAACATTTCATTTCAACCAAACGCTCAAACCTTATCGATGTCTGTGTTGTCTGCGTTGGGAAGCGGTATGTCTTTCAAATCAACGGGACTTTTATTTCGTCGACTCCTATCGTGACCTTCTTCTGAATCCCGTCTTTCTCTTTGATTTCGATGGATGTCTTCATTCACTTTAACCGTAGATTTAATCAAATGTCTGCCATTTTCGGTATGCTTTTCAGAGCCGGAATCGCTTTCGGCATAAAACTCGTCGTTATTTCGATTTCGGTGTTCTCTCGGAGAAGGACTTCGTCTCCGGCGATGAATGGGTGGCTCTTCAGTAAAGACTCTCTTCCTATCCGTAGAGTTGCGATAAAATGAGTTCTCATTCTCTGAATCTTCTCTTTCATAGTCGTGTCGATTATCATAATCTCGGTTACGATTGAATTGTCTAAAAATAAGATGAATATAAATTCTAAAAATTACGGCACAATAAACATATTATGTAACAAACCTCTGGCGAAAAGGATTCTCCCTTTCAAACCGATTCCTATCTGAACCACGATTTTGAACACTTATGTTATGAAACAAAGGATATATATATATTGTAAAAGTAAATTAAATCAAATGTATCAAAACGGACCGTTCATTGCGAGCAATGATTTCTTTAAGCGACACGAGTTTGGACTGCGCTCTTCTCCAATGCTCAGGGGTTTTGCTACGCGCTCTACGGTTATCGGTTGGCGACGGAGTTCTGTAATGCTATTCACACCATAACATAAGTTTTATATAACAGATTGTCATCAATGAAAGCCTACTTTATTGCCGCGCCCTTTGAATAGACGTCCGGATGGAGTGATTCTTTCTTTTGCGGGCAAATCATTGCGCGATTCTTCGAACACAGAATCTCGGGCTAAGAATTTATTTTCTGGAATTTCCGGAATCTCTTCGGGTTTTACAGAACATTCAACGGCTAATAAGTCAATGTTTTTGTTGTCACTAAAAATACAATTATAGAAATTACGGGCGTTTCATATGATTGACAATTGATTACTAACTCATTGTCTTTAGTCTCCTCTTTATTCTTCTTGTGTTTTTTGTGTTTACTTTCTTTTTTCTTTTTGCGTTTGTTATCCTTCTCTTCATCGCTGGATAGCTCTCCGTCTGATTTCTTGGACTTTTCTTTCCTGTGTTTCTTCTTTTTCTCTGTAAAATAGATTGTATTTTAAAATTGCAATTCACTTATCATTTAGTTTTAAATTCAAAATATACTAATCATTACCCTTTGGCTTAATCTGAGGGATGAGTTCACCGCAATTAACAATCACTACTTCGGCGAGTGGTCTGCCGTCATCTGTTGTCGACTGATTCTGAATCTCGTTTATGATCTCCTGTCCCGACAACACGTGTCCGAACACGACGTGAACACTATTTGCAATAAAAACTGTCAATTATTTCTAAGTCTTTTGACTAAAGCCTTCGTTAAGTCAATACCCGTCCAAATGTTTGCATGTATTAAGTGTTCTGTAATCAAAGAATTGCTTTTATTAAAAGAATGTCTATAATAGGCATTGAAGACAATGTCTTACATGAAGAATTGGGATCCGTTTGTGTTCTTTCCTCTGTTAGCCATCGACAAGAGGAACGGTTTGTCGTGTTTTACGTCAAAATTTTCGTCTAAAATACGTAAAAATAAAGAGTGAAATGATTGAGTGGATCAGTTGAACGAGTGATGTCTGCATACCATTAAAAGTGCCGCCGAATATGGATTCGCCTCCTCTGCCATTGCCTATAATTGTTTGCGAATTTATTTCATTACAAATACTTTTGCTTTAGTTTTTGGATTAATTCTAAGACAAATTGATTTGATTTGAATCTAATGTCCAACGGATCAAATGGCGGTACGAATGCTCACCCATAGAGAAGTCGCCCGACTGTATGATGAAGTTCTTCACCACTCTATGAAACGACACATTCTTGTAATGCAATGGCTTTGCCGTCGTTTTTCCCAATCCTTTCTCCCCTTTAATAAATGCAATTATTTGTATCATTAGTCTTAGTGTCTAATCAATGGTCAAATTGTCATCAATACCGGTGCAAAGCGAGCGGAAGTTATCGCAAGTCTTCGGACAAATATCGTTGAAGAGCTCGAAGACGATCCGTCCGACTGTCGGCAAAAAACATTATCACATGTTATGCCATGTCTTGCATTCAAACGATTTACTCACTCTCTTTGCCACCAATGGTGATGTCGAAGAAGCACCGGTGCCTCAACTTCTTGATGTCAGTCATTGTGTTATATTGTCTTCAGTTATCTTCAAATGGTTTATCAAATGTTTGAGAAAACAATGAAATGTTTGCCATTTATTTACCATTCAATCAACTGTTCATATATTGCGTTACGTTTGCAAAATGAAACCCCGATTTCTTATAATAACAGTATTTTGACTCATTTACTGTATATATCGAGGCATTAATGTCTAGATTAAAGTCAATTTTAATGAATTTATTGATTAAAAGTTATTCAAATATAATGATTACAAACAATTCATTAAAAATTGCTATAAAAACAAACTTAATTATTAGTGTTTGGAATTAATCATAAGTTAAACATTAAGTGAATTATAATTTTTTGTTTTCCATAAAAGTTAAAAAAAACTGTAAAAAGAGTGCAAAAGAAGTATAGTTTAAGTGTTAATTCGGATGAATTTAGTGCCAATAAGTGTAAGAAAGCCCTCGTCTTGAAGTGCTTTGAGTGAATCGTCGAACATATCTCTGGAGACCATAAGAGTGGTTGAGTTCTTGAATTCATTGAACACAGTTTGGTAACTGTACTGCAATTGGGCCTCAGTTTGTGAGCCCTTCTCTGTTCCCATCGATTCCAAGAGTTGTTTCAATCCGGAGGACAACTCGTTTCGCTTCTTACGACTCGAAGCACTCATACCTGTTGTCAGAATCGAAATGTCTATCTTTCCCGACAACGGATCGGTTGCCGACTGTTTAATGGCCTCGCGATGCAGTCTTCGGGCCTCTTCTACGTCGGAGACGTCCACAACATTCTTGAAACTCATCTTCGCGTGCGCTTCAGCCAAACGGATCAATGACTCCAACTGTCGGGGATATGCACTGATCTGTCCCTTTCCGGACCCAACTTTCCTCATCTCTACGTACGCGTGCTTTAAGGCCTGAGACGCCTCTTCCGACAGCACCGGATGGAAGTTGAGTCGCGCGTAACCGATGTAGTCCTTCAACAAACTCAAGTCCAGGAACTCCTGCTCGTCGTCGTCGCGCGATCTGTGGTATAGAGAGACCAGATGTCGCGCGAGTCGGCGGTCGTACTCCTCGTCCTGCGGGTCGAGTAACAGGAAAATCAAATCAAAGCGAGACATCAAAGTTGGCGGCAATTGAATGTTTTCGGTAATGGTTTTGTTTTTATTCCATTGAGACTCCACTGGATTGGCGGCCGCGAGAATGGATGTCCTGGCGTTCAATTGGCAAACAATGCCCGCCTTCGCGATGGAGAGGGTCTGCTGTTCCATCACTTCGTGGAGTACAGAACGCGTGGAATCAGACATTTTGTCAAATTCATCGATACAACAGATGCCGCCGTCACTCAACACAAGAGCTCCCGTTTGCAAAACCATTTGTCTTGTGTCCGGATCTTTGGTTATATAAGCGGTGAGACCGACAGCGGACGAGCCTTTGCCGCTCGTGTACTGCCCTCTCGGCACCAGATTATAGACGTACTGAAGAAGTTGTGATTTACTGGTTCCCGGGTCTCCGCACAGCAATATATTGAGTTCCGATCGAAAGCTCCGCAATTTGCCGGTCGGGTTGTTCTCACTCTCGTTGTATTCCTTTCGAGTGCCGCCGAAGAGTTGCAAAAGAATGCCTTTCTTGATGTCCAAGTGTTCGTAAATACTGGGCGCCAGAGCGCAGGCCAAGCGTTCGTAGATATCGGGATCATTGGACAATTGGATCAGTTTATCGATGCGCTCTTTCGATAGTTTCAGTTGATATCCGTCGTCGTGAAGGCGTTTGTTCTCCACTTTGCGATAGTGGACGACATCGACGTGTGTTCTGTACACAGACTTCACGTTACGTTTGTTTGGATGGACTCGAATGGGTGTCGCCCTATAAATGCCGGTTACGGTCACTCTCTCTCCGGGCTGTACTCTGTCCACCAAATCAGAGCAGCCGTACAGCAGAACAGTGTAAGGGGTCTGACCGGCGGGCATGTCGTCGGGCGACTCTTGCAGTTTGATTTGCTGTTTGTCTGTGAATTGCGAGCGATTGTGAACCAAACGGAACGAGAAGTTTGTGTTGCATTGTCTGCAGACGCGGGGCTCAGCGATGGATCCGCGATCCACTTCGACGTTGAGTCCGAAGTTACAGACCGTGCACTCGAAGTACGCGACACACATCTCGGCGATGATATTAGAGCAGCGAATAACCATTCCTGAGATCGTAATCAATTGGTTTATGTCTTCGGGATTCAGATCGCGTAAAGTCGATGTCTTGACCACATTGTAAGGCCGAACACAAATGCGCTCCATTTCGGCGATGCCTTCGGGATAGAGTTCGACAAACACTTCATTGACCGCCATATCAAACGTCGGAATCACTTCTTGCGGGTATGAAACCAGTTGTCGATAGAGAGTGGCGTCAAAACTGTGGAGATGTCCGCAATTGATGCTAAGAAACGGTTCGCCAATTATCACCATTTCGTGCAGTTTTCTTATATAATAACCCTTTCGGGCGTCGCTTTGAGAGTCGGTGTCCATCTGTACGTCGACCTCCACTTCGTCGCTGTCCAAGCCTTGTGTCTCAAAGCCTTCGTGTTTGAGAAAGCGTTTAAACTTTTCTCTGCATTGATTGATAGCCACATCAGTTCCCCAAATGACTAACTGCGGGGCAGTACTCGTGTGGGAATCACTTGTGGCCACAGCAGCCGCTTCTCCGGTCGGACCGTCAGTCTCTCCGACATTGATCTGCCGGACGAGACGGGAATCGCTCGATATGTCAAACCGTTTCTTCGCCGCGTTTCGCACAGAAGTGACCGACGATTGGCTGAATTCAGTGGAGCCGTAATGAAGAGGAGAACTGAGATTAATGGCGTCGCCGAAGAGTCCGCGACTGGAACTGCCTCTCATGGGAGTCGCGCTTCTGGTCTGAGACGGCGGTTGAGAGCCGTTGGCGTCGCCGCCACTCATCGGTCCGTCGCTCGCGTCCTGTCTTTGGCCGACACTCTCAGGCATTTCGTTGATTGGATTGGATCTCAAACTTCTGGTACTTCTTTGGGAGGAATCCATGGGTTTGTCGGACGACTTGTCCGGTCGTCGACGGGAAGAGCGGGACGTCTGAGAGGTGGGACTCGACTCCCTCTTCGGTGGCGTGGCTTTGGTCTGAGATCTGGTCGATCGAGTGCTGCCATGACTTGCATTACTTGAATCCCTTTGCGAAGTACGCGAAGACATCACTGAAGGAATCAATTGAAGACTCGATGAAGAAATCAAATGACAATTATTTCGCTTTCTTTGCAACGAAACCAAACTTTAATAAAAGTTATTGTCTTTAAAGCGCTCTTTAAATGCCTTTCAACACATTTGGCGCCCAATTGTTATATTGAGTGTTGAAATCACTTCAACCCATCATTTCGTTTAGTTTTGTCATTAACTTTAAGTTAATTTTTTAATCAATTTATTAATTATTATATTTAAAGTAAATATTTATATTGTAATTAAATTTTTAATTGAATTAATGTTTAAAATTAATTAATTTCATCTCATAAACGGCACTCAATATTGACGTTATTTATATTGTATTCATTCATAAGTTTCGTAAAGAAAATGATTTAAAAGTCTGTTTTTAAATACAAATTGTTTTGAAATTTCATTCATTTATTTGTTTTTAAATGAGTTTTAAATAAAATGTTGAAAAATATTTGCAAAACATTTTGCTTTCAACGCAAGTATCGGTCGATTATCTCATTATCACATGAAAGACACCGACTTTTGTCCACCGAAGACAAGACCAGAGAACACGTGAAGAGCGCCGAAATCTCACAACCGATTGAATCCACGTTTGAGTCCATTAACAGAGTATTAAAAGACAAGAGTTTGAAAGACCTGTTAAATGAAGCGTCGAGTGAATTGGAAAGCATCGGTTCCGGCGCTCAAGAACTCACTCAAAGGGATATAAACGAAAGCATTGCTAAAAGGGATCAAAAGAGGCTTTCATTGCGGCCGAAGACGGCTCCGGAGGACACGACTGTAATGCTATTCCCGGGTCAGGGCTCGCAGTTTGTTGGGATGGGTTATCATGTCATCGATTCGCCTAATGTTAAGCAAATGTTTACAATCGCTAAACAGATTTTGGGCTACGATTTGCTTGACTTATGCCTTAACGGACCGATTGAACGCTTAAATCAGACCCAATTCAGTCAACCGGCAATCTTTGTCACGTCGTTGGCCGCCGTCGAGAGCCTCCGCCAATCGGGTTCGGGTGATGTGGAGTCATGTGTGGCGACCGCCGGCTTTAGTGTCGGCGAATTGGCTGCTCTGGTCTTCGCCGGCGCTCTCTCTTTCGAAGACGGACTCCGTTTAGTGAAGATAAGGGCCGAAGCGATGCAATACGCGACCGAATTGGTGCCGTCGGCGATGATTACTGTCTTCTTCAACGCCGACGCGCGCATCAACTTTGCCTGCAATGCGGCCAAAGAGTGGTGTCTTCGCAAAGGAGTACAGCCCGAGTACGCCGTGTGTTCGGTCGCTAACTATCTGTTCCCGCACTGCAAAGTCGTCGCCGGACACGAAGAGGCCATCAGTTTCTTGCAAATGAATGCTAAAGATTTTGGCATTAAAAAGACAAAGCGTTTGCCAGTTTCGGGTGCTTTCCATACAAGCCTTATGGCGCCCGCGAGGGAAGTGATGAGAGAAGCGCTCAAACGGATCCGAATAGATGTGCCGCTAATCCCTGTTCACTCCAACTTTGACGCCAGGGTTTACAGCAATGCCGATGACATCCGCAAGAAGTTAGCCAAACAAATCGTATCACCCGTTCGTTGGGAACAAATACTTCACATCATATATGAGAGGCCGAAGGAGACCAAGTGTCCGAAGACCTTCGAGTGCGGCCCCGGGACCTCACTCTTGTCCACATTAAATATGGTTCACGGCATCGCCCGAAGAAGTGCCCGACACGTCCCGGTTTAGCACTTTTCAATTGGCTATTATATTTTGTATTTTTGTTAATCAATTAAATTGTGTATTAAAAGTCAAAATAAAGATTAAATCAATGTTTATTTAATGCCAAATAATCTCAAGTAAAATACATACGGTAATAATAATTTTTATTTAGCAAAAGCGATGAAATACATAACATGTAGTACTGTATTCATTTTAAAAATAACTGTTTAACTTATATAAGTTATAACTTATTTTAATAAATATAGAACAATTAGTGTATTATATTTTTAATGTAATTATTAAATCACTTATGAAAATATAGTATAATTATAGTTATAAAACTTAAAAAGTGTGCCTTAAGTGAATATTATCGACAATATGTTTGATTCAAATAATGGGCAAAAATAAAAAACTTATATTTTGTGTAAATGTGCGCAAATGTGTTGAATAGGGAATAATAATATTGATATGGATTATAGTGTTGTTTGTATGCATATAAGCCCGGCTAGCTCAGTCGGTAGAGCATGAGACTCTTAATCTCAGGGTCGTGGGTTCGAGCCCCACGTTGGGCGCACTTTTTGCTCTATCAATATTTTACATTATAATTTTTAATCAATTCTATTATTATTGAATTATATTCACCGGTAATATTAATAAATTTTGATACCGTTATAACAAACATATACTTTACAACCCGATAATAAAGATATATTTATTAGTTACATGTTATTACCGTTAGATATATTTATGTATAATTCTCTTTTAAAAAATTTTATTTTTAAATAATTTCGATGTGAAAATTATAATAATTTCAAATAATTATATATTTATTGAATAGAATGATAAAAATCTAATTGAATAATGAGTTAATGAGAATATAGTGATGTGTTAGGCGTCGGCGGCGTCTAATATAGACATACTGTACGCCAAATCCCAATAGTGTTCCACCGAATGGTTTTTGAAGAGCTCTCTCGCGAAGCTCTCATTTGGACTCAATTTGAACTTCACGTCACCGAACACTCTATTCTTGGCCGTCCCCTCCCAGACCAACAAACACTTGTTCTCTATCTTCTCTCCCGATTCAGCTGTTAATCACAAATAAATCATTAGTTTTATGTATAAATAATAAAATAATTCAAGCATTACTTCCATCTTTAGAGGCCTGTTCTTCACCCCATTTAATCCTATCCAACATTAAATGTTTGAATTTTTTCTGCTGTTTGGGTCCGCCCTCGACGACCACAACATTGATGTTACGGTACAATACTATCACTCCAGTCATCAGTAATTGTTTAATATTTGCCTCCACTTTAAACTTCTTCGCCTGATTCATGAGATTAAGCACTCTATAGACAGCGACACAAACGCCAAGACTCGTGTCTTCTTTAATCTTTTTGGTCTTTTTCTGCTTTTTCTGTTCGACAGTCAGTTTGCGGGAAGCGTTGGCCTCTTCGTGGGCTTTCTGGCGCCGCAGGATCTGGTCCTTGACGTGAGCCTCAACTTTGGTCGGGTCCTGAACCGCCTGTTGTCCCAACACTCGCATCATATTAGACATCTTCACCTTAGGCTCCGGTGGCGGCTCTAAACCGATGCGAATCTTTTCCTGTTTGTCTTTCCACGCCTCGCGTCTGTTCTGTCGCCGAAGTTTCTTCCGCTCCCTTTGTGTCAAAAATACCGGTAATAACACAGGTTTTGTCGGTTCGGCTATACATTAATAATATATATTTATAAATATAATACATTTCAAGAATAAAGTGTAATGACTACAGACCGGGCGGTTTCATTTGAATGGGATGTTCGACCAAATGTGTGATTCCATCATATTTTTCATTGCCATGTGATTCGTTTTCAATACAACTTTGATAACTAAAAATATGGATAAATATAAATTACAAATTATTAAATTAGTTTAAAGTACATGTAAATAACAAAATGTGTTGACAAACCTGTTGTCTTTTAATACGAAACTATCCCACCATTCGATGTCTGGGATCTCGTCCTCTCTCTGTGTAAAACAAAGTGACATTCGTTGCGATCAAAAACTCCAAACTCTTAACAAAATGTGTTGACAAACCTGTTGTCTTTTAATACGAAACTATCCCACCATTCGATGTCTGGGATCTCGTCCTCTCTCTGTGTAAAACAAAGTGACATTCGTTGCGATCAAAAACTCCAAACTCTAGTATTAATCATAAAAATAGGCTAACATTCAAAGAGAAATTAGCTGTTGTTTAGCCCAAACTTACCATTTGTTTCTTCGGTACGATTGAACTTAAAAGAGCGAGACGTGCGGCAGAACTGATACCCGTCTTCTTGGCCGCCGATGCGATCTCTTTCTGTAATTTGTCTAATTGTGCCTAAAATACAAATAAATATTAAAATCACATAAAACTAAATCCAATCAATACTTTTGTCCTCAATTTTTGAGCCATGTTTTCAAAGGTTCCCTTTTCGTAGAACTTAAACCCTTTCTTCGGTCTCATCGCAGCCTTAAGGCTAACTCTGGTGTCAAAGAACTGCTGTTCGCCCGAATCGTCGGTTTGTTTGTCTTGATTTAGTTTCACAAACTGTTCCTTCTTTTGAGCCCTAATATTGGCCTTAAGTGTAGGCATACGAGTGATCAGATGTACTTCTTTGCCGCTCAAGTCAACGGTCCGGCCCTCAGAGTTCAGTATAAGAGGTGTCGGTTTCCCCACTTTCGAGTTATCGCCGCTTTCACTGCAATAGTAATTAAATAAATACATAAATGTTTTACAAGAATTTATTAATTGTATTATTATTTTTGTATAAAATTTTAATATAAGTTTCAATTCATTTTCCATATATAGTATATCTTACTCCTGATCTGCAGCCGAGGGCGCAATGTTTGGACGATTTGCGAGTCGGGCCTGGATTTGAGCCGTCAATTGAGCGATTCGTGTCTTGTGGTCTAAATCTGCAGACATTCGCTGTGCGGGCATCGATGGCATCGGAGGTACTGATGGTGTGGCCAACTGTGGAGTCACCTTCTTTGGTGGCGGCGGCTGCTGTACAGGTCCTCCAATCTGT